TTTAATGGCAGAACTTGAATTTGCACATATGTGATTTAATCCCACACCCAAATACTGGCAGTCTGGATGCACCATATATATTCAGTACATATATGCATATATTCATACATATTCATTCAGTACATCATCCTTTTCCTTGAGATCTCTCACACTTCACAATCATTCAGTACAGGGTTTATTTTGCCTCACCAGGTATTATTGCTCTTTCACAAATATGGGATGTCTTTAGCATGCCTTTCTGTTCATATCTGCAATAGCACCTTAGAGCATGTCATCTTACGCATTGAAATTGAAATTTTGTGAATTTCTTCAGTAAAAATAAGTTTTTGATGTGAGGAATTAAAATCTGCTCTTATCTTTGTGATGTAGCTTGTAAGTCTACATTTGATTGAATAGTACATAAATAGCTTTGGTAAGCCAAAGAAGTTTAATTTTACCTTCTCAAAATGTCAGGTAATGCTAAATAATAATAATAAATATAATATTAATATATAATATATAATATAACTGGAAGTAATTGTCAGTCACTTTTAATGACTTCATGCATCTTTACACTTATTTTACTTACCATGCAAAACTGTACAGTGGTACCTCTGGCTATGTACTTAATTCATTCCAGAGGTCCGTTCTTAACGTGAAGCTGTTCTTAACCTGAAGCACCACTTTAGCTAATGGGGCCTCCCACTGCTGCTGCTGCGCTGCCGCCGCGTGATTTCTGTTCTCATCCTGAAGCAAAGTTCTTAACCCAAGGTACTATTTCTGGGTTAGCGGTGTCTGTAACCTGAAGCGTATGTAACCTGAGGTACCACTGTATCTTAAACAAAACAATTTTTAACTTCCGAAGTCATACTCCAAATTGTGAGCACCACTCATATTTGGAATTCAGCACGCTATATAATACAACATGGATGCTCTTAGAGCACAAGATGTGGTACCATTTAGCTCTGTACCAATTAGGCCACCAACTACCACAATTACATAGGATCACAAAGCGCAGAATGTATGTTCTGACTTTAAGAAATCCTTATATTCTGAGTGAACAAAAAAAAATGAAGCATGTTGATGTGATTGATGGATTATGTATGAGCTGGGGACTGTACTGTTCTTTCTTTTTCCCCAGATATGAATGACTGTGATAAATGCTCAGACAAAGACTATCCAAGCAAGAACCGAGATGCATGTATTCCCAAGGATATAAGCTTCTTGTCTTATGAAGAACCTTTGGGCATCAGTTTAGTCTGCTTTTCGCTTTCATTTTCTCTGATCACAACTCTGGTGCTGGGTACATTTGTGAAGCACCATGACACTCCCATAGTCATTGCAAACAACAGGAACCTCACCTACACTCTCCTCATTGCTCTCCTGCTCTGCTTCCTTTGTGCACTGCTCTTCCTGGGCCAACCAGAGAAGCTGACATGTCTCCTCCGACAAACCGCTTTTGGCATCATCTTCTCAGTGGCTGTTTCTTGTGTATTGGCAAAAACCATCACTGTGGTTCTGGCTTTCATGGCCACCAAACCTGGATCCCGGATGAGGAGATGGGTGGGGAAGGGATTGGCCAACACCATTGTCCTTTGCTGCTCCTTTGTTCAGGCAGGAATTTCTATTGTGTGGCTAGCAACCTTTCCCCCATTTCCAGATGTAGACAGTTACTCAGTGGCTAAAGAAATTATACTAGAATGCAATGAGGGGTCTGTAATGATGTTTTATGTTGTTCTGAGCTATATGGGCTTCCTGGCAATTATTAGTTTCATTGTCGCTTTCCTGGCCAGGAAATTACCTGACAGTTTCAATGAAGCCAAGTTCATCAGTTTCAGCATGTTGGTCTTTTGCAGTGTTTGGCTATCCTTTATTCCATCCTACCTGAGCACCAAGGGAAAATACATGGTTGCTGTGGAGATCTTCTCTATCTTAGCCTCTGGTGCTGGACTGCTGGGTTGCATCTTTTCCCCAAAATGTTATATTATTGTGTTCAGGCCTCAGCTGAACAACAGGGAGCAGCTAATAAGAAAGAAGAACTAAAAAATGAAAGAATGAAAGAAAAACTGTCCTTTGCTCATCAAAAGGGACTGTGTGTATGTTTCTTTCTGTATATACAGTAGAACAGTTCACTGTTGTCCAATTCTCCTTGGCTGGAAAAAAATCACTTGGAAACTACAAAAGCACAGAAAAGCTCCTTCCTTAAAAACTACAGTTGCAACTTTCAAATCTAGATTCCTACCTTCACTAATTCCTACCTAGTCCACACTTTCTTCTTTTATCTACAAAAGTTAAATCAGTTTGGAATAATGAATTCAGTCTACAAAATCACAAAGATTTTGTGATTTTAAGAAAGAAAAGTCTTTCTTAAAAACTACCTTTGGATTTTTCAATTCTAGATGGAAGCAACTAATCTTTGCGGGGGTGGGGTGAGGAACGGAAATGCCGTTTACCTTCCTGCCGGAGCGGTACCTATTTATCTACTTGCACTTTGACATGCTTTTGAACTGCTAGGTTGGCAGGAGCAGGGACCGAGCAAAGGGAGCTCACCCCATCGCGGGGATTCGAACTGCCAACCTTCTGATCGGCAAGTCCTAGGCTCTGTGGTTTAACCCACAGTGCCACCCGCGTCCCAATGATACCTACAAAGTGGCAAAAGAATAAGGCATGAACAGCTAGGAAGAAAAAGAACAAACATCAGAAAAACAAGCTTTGAGCTTTTTGTAGAAATAAGGGAGGACGACATGGGAGTTGAATGCATGTGAGCTGCACAGGAGCACGCAAGCTGCCGGCTAGCTTTTCAGAAGCTCTTTTTCAGAAGCAGAAATCAACAGTTTAGAAATAGTAGTGAAACCACCCTGAACTTAACATATTTCCAGCAAGGCACATTTCCAGCGTTAGCGATACAATTGTCAAACCAAGTGTTTCCCCCAAATGTTCCCCTGATACTTGAAAGTCTGCTTCACTCGTCACGCTCCAGCCAAGTGAAACATTAAGCAAAGCTTTCTGCAAGGGAGGCAAAGGTCAGAGAGTGGGCATGGTGGCTAGAGACGCTGTGGAGTGTCTTATGCTGAAGTGGAGGTGTGCCCCCATGCTGCATCTGCCATCCCCACACTTTTTTACTACACAATTAGGTGGGGGGCAGGTCCAGACTTGTGTTCTGCACACTTAGTATGAAAAGTCACAGAAATGAAGCACAAAGCTGATTTGACAGGAGTGTGTTATAGGCCTGTGGCACAGAGGCAAAAGAAAACCCATCAATTTGATTTGATGCTGAAGTTATTGTGGTCACTGCCACCGCAGCATAAATCTCAAACTATCATCTGCTTATCTGCTTGATTCTTCCCTTTGGTTGCACTTCATACAGTTTACAAAGGATGTTCTCTTTACTTACTGAATTCTTTGTGCTTTGTATATATTAAACATATTATACAACAATGTTTTTGTTATTTGAATTTTTATTCCCCATTTTTCTCTCCCCTATGCCCAATAATTTGGCTTCTGTTAATTAGGATTAGTTTTAACCAGTTATTCTTCAGTCAGCCTGTATATATCCAAATTGAATTAAGATAAACCTGAACTAGAAAGGTTTTTCTGAAAAAGAAAATGCCCCCAAGTGCTTCAGAGGTCCCTGTGTCAGTTTGAGATGTTTGGCAAGAACCCACTTCTGCTCAGCTGCCTCATTCCATTTCTTAATTCAGGATCTGTAGGGTGGGGGGCGGGGTTGCACACAAACTCTTAATTTCCCATGGGACAGCCACTCCCTTATTTTAACACCTTGCAGGGTTTCATTCATGATCTGTGGGCTGCATTTGGAGCATAAACAGCTGCCTTGTTGGTTCATTAACTCAGGATTGTCTAATGGAGCAGGTGCATAACTTGGCAATACTCGTGGATATGTGTTAATCATGAGAGGGCCAAATGACCTCGAATGGCTAGGAATGGCTTGTACCTCGAATGGCTAGGAATGGCTTGTACCAGCTTCACTTGATACATCATCTATGGCTGTATATAGATTGGAATCACTTAGCTACAATACACGATGCATCATAGCAGCATCTCCCGAGTTCTTAGAAATTGCCTAATGTAAATATCTGTTTTCCATTTATGTACAAAATATCAATTTAATTAACAATCTTAGTGAATAGTTAATTTTGCATCCAGCTGATTTAAAGTAAGTTGTGGAAATTCCTTCCCACGGGGGTGTTTCTATCATTGCAAAGGGATGGGTGACAGCACAAAGGGGTCACATTGAGAAACTTTGAGTTATTGTGGCATGAAAAGTAGCAAAAATATCTCAGTTTGTATGTTTAAAAAACTGGGGCAGAGCTTACAAAAAGATACTGAATCAACTTTTCTTTCTATAAATTATGTTGGCAATAACATTTTTTCAGGAAGATCAACCCTTTCAAGAAAAAAGTTGCTTTTTGCTCTAATGGTGGTACACAATCTCCAGCGTCAGTCACTCAATCTTCTTATTACAGTCAATGATAAGTATTCAATATTTCCTTCACAGCCTTTTGGCTAAGATCATGCAAAACATCCAATTTGATTCATGCTGTGGGTCATTCCAATCACAATAGTCTCTTGCCATCTAACTGTTCAGAAAAGAAATATTTCCATTCCGATGTGAAAAACATGTTTTCTTCAGCAATTCCCAGAGGAAATCCCCACATCTGAACAGGCGATTTCCTGATTCATTAATTCTGAAAAGCACTAATTTTAGTGCTCATCCAGCCCACTGTGGAATTTCAGTTGCCATGAACAAAACAAATAGCAAAGACACTGAAGAATATTACAAATATGTCTGCCACCATTTAGAGACAGAGGGGCTGGGGACCAAGAACAACCATCTGTTGTGATCTCTGATTCTTTGCACAATTGACCCTGAAGCTCAGGGCTGTGTACAGAGTGAACTTCATTAAGGCAAGAAGTTCTCATCACAGAGACTCTCATGATTGCACTACAGCAAACAACGGAGAAATCTGTGTTTAGATTGAAGATTTACCATTCCATAGAGGATGGTAGTTTTAGTGGTCTTGCTGCTGGCTCTGTTTCCTCACATGGCACAGGAGGCCCACACCATTAAATGCAGGGTTCAGTATCTACACCACCCACTTCACAAGTATCATCAGCCGGGAGATTTCATCATTGGTGGCATAGCTTCTCACGGTACCTTTATTTTCAGTTCAGCAAGTTTCTCTGAAGAACCCCCACCTGCATTGTCAGAAGAGCTTGCGTAAGAACTTGTATTGTGTCTGTTTTTATTTCCATTTTGTAGTTCCATTGAGTTAAAAGGGATATCTCTGAGTAGACATGAGCAAGGATTGTGTTAATCTTCACGCAGGCTGCAGTAGCAGTTAAAATAGAATCTCCACAGGAAATGCAACATGGGTTGTTGTTTTAAAAATGCATTTGTTTATTTAACTACACCATCTTTGTCCTCTTCCTTTTGATTCTTTCTCTCACTTTTTGCTCTGTTATCCTTTGTTCCTATTTGTTTTTTACTCATCTTGTGTCCCCCTTTCTCTTTCCATTATGACAACTCTCATTTTGTGTTTCAGCAGTTATCATAGGCACTCCTGAGAGCAGTTTCCCTAACAGCTACAATTTTCAGTGTTCTTTAAAAAGCTGGATTGACTATGAAATTTCTCTTGCTACCATTAACAAACAGCAGCTTCCAGGATTCTTTGTGGAAGCCATGACTCGTTAAAATGCTATCATAGCACTATAAATGTATGGTTTTAATATGGCCTATGAAAGACGGGTCATCACATGGTTTGAAGGCTGAGCGAGGATTTGAAACTGGTTCTTACCCTAGTTCTAGTCCAATGCCCTAACCACTGTACTATATTGAATTCTGTTCCTTGCGAATGAGGCTTCCAAGCAAAAATATGTAGCTCCCTTACTTATATCAAGTCATGGAATTTGCTCTCGTAACCCAGTAATAATTTACTACTGTGGACCCAGCAGAAGGTTGTGCTGCCTGATATTTTTGTTGCTTAAGCTATGAAGTACAACTCTTGTGACTTATGATTGGTACCATCATCACTTTCACACAGTTATCCTGCTTCTTTTATCTTCCTTCTACATCTCTGTTTCAGTTAAAGGTCATTTCAACATGCCTGGTGATAAATGATGTAGTGCAGTAAGTGTAGTAAGAATGTACTGCATTAAATGTATAGTTTAAATAGTATGACTAGATGAAAGGTATGAAATAGCTCCTTTATTCTCTCCATTTTGACAAACATTCTTTAAAAGGAATCTCATTGAGAAAGTACAGCATATGGTGTGTTCTCAAGTGGGCATTGTGTACTATTTTTTTCTTGAAGTCACCTTAAGCTAAAGACTCCCTCAGAAGACATAATATCTAAACGAGATAACTGTAAAAAAATTCAAAGCATCATGGCCATTAAGCAAAAAGCAGAAGGGAATGAAAATGCAGTAAAGTGGGTTTTTTGGAGACAGGCAGCTTATTCCCTTGGAACAGTCTGTGGGATTGTAGTCTTACAGTTTTATATCCACATACAAGGGAGAAAACCTCAAGGAACTCTTCCTTCTACATCTCTCAATTAAAGATCTTTTCAAGGTGCTTGGTGGTAAGGGTTGTACTGTAGTAAAATAATGTGCTTGGTCAAATGTATCGTTGTTTGAATAAAATAGCTCTTTTACTCTGTTCATTTTGACAAAGTTTCTTTAAAAAGGAATCTCACTGGGAAAGTATAGCATATGGTGTGTTCTGAAGTTGGCGTAATTTAGTAATATCATTATTTCTTTTTCTTTCTCATGCAAAAAGTCCATGACAAGTTTCCAATCTTTAACAAATATTAACAATGACTTCTCTCTGATTAAACATGTTAGCTTTACTAGGCATTCTTCCATTGTTGGTAATGATGGGTCCTTCAGTCTTGCTACATATAAAAGTCTTGCAGTAATAATCATTTATTGTAATAAAGTTCAATAGCCCTTTTCTAACTATGTATCCATAAGTTCCAGCAGCAAAAGTTCTAGTTTCAATTGAAAATCAATCTTCAAAATTCTCTATATCAAAGTATATATTTGAGTCCAATATGTTTTGGCTTTTCTACATTTCTACCAAGCATGATAAAATGTCTCTTCCCTTGGCTCATTTGGAAGGAATAGCAAGATATGAATTTCATTAGGGAAGTTTTTAATGAATAACACCAGGACAGATAGCAAAAATGTACAAAACTGGGTCAAACACATGATGGAAATGTAAAGAAAAGGAAGGGACCTTTTGTCATATGTGGTGGGAATGTATAGAAATTTTAAAGAATGGGAAATGATATGTAATGAATTGAAGAAAATGTTTAAAATGACATTTGTAAAAAAAAGAAAGCATTTTTTTTAGGGATTGTAGGACAAGACCTGCCAAGAAAAACAAAGAACTTATTCATGTATGCTACAACAGCAGCAAGAGTCTTGATAGCACAAGAATGGAAGAATGAGGAAACCCCGACAAAGGAACAGTGTGAAGAGAAATTGATGAACTACGCAGAATTGGCTAAACTGACATACAAACTGCGAGATAAGGACAACTGTGACTTCAAAGAAGAATGGGAACTTTTTACAAAGTACTTTAAAAGACAACAAAATGAATTGGACTGCTTGGCAGGTTTTGAATAAACATACACAAATTTAGTGATTGATAACATGGTAGACAGATAATATAAGGATTGAAATAATTTTATAATATGAAGAGAATAACGTGCTGAGAAATCAGAGACAGGAGATGAGGGAAGTCTCGGTGGGGAGGGTTTGATGGGGAATGGGGGGAAAGGTGGGAAATAATGGACAGGCTATGTTTTGATATATTGTTATGTTGAATTTTTTTTTTTTAAAGGGAAGTTTTTAATCTTTGATGTTTTATTGAGTTTTTAATATCCTGTTGGAAGCTACCCAGAGTGGCTGGGGAGGCCCAGCCAGGTGGGCGGGGTATAAGAATTATATTATTATTATTATTATTAATTATTCATTCAAATTGTGGAATTGTGGAATTGTGATCAAGAATGCAATTGTTGTTCCAGCGTGGTGCCAAAGGGTTACCAGCACATCCTGGCCTTGGCATTTGCTGTCAAGGAGATCAATGAAAACCCTCAAATCTTACCAAATCTCACCTTGGGCTTCCACATCTATGACAGCTATATCAATGCAATTAAGACATATCATGCCACAATGCTACTTTTATCTACACTGGATAAATTTCTCCCCAACTATATATGTGATACACAGAATAATCTGACAGCTGTCATTGGTAGTCTCGACTCCCAGGTCTCCCTTCATGTCGCAACTATCTTGGATATTTATAAGATTCCACAGGTAGGACACCTATGCCTGCTTCTGAGAGGAGTATGAAAATTTAATAGTGCTTTCATATTTTTTTGTTTTTCCAGGTTGTATTATGCTGTTTGGAAACAGGAATGGGTGCATTACGAATAATCAGATTAATTATTCTCTTTGTTTCTTTCCTTTGCATGTTTTATGCAGACTGAAAGCAGTTCATTAACAAATAAAAAAGTAAACAAACCTATAACTGGAACATGGTTTTCATAGAACTAAGATTGAGCAATATATTTTTTCACATGGAAATTCCACTTACTGTTTCTAATGCTCCTAGTTGTTGATTCTTTTTACTTTCTATATTGTTCATGGAAAGCATTCTTCAATAATTATTAGGCACCATTTAAAACTTCTTGGGGCCCATTCATACCAACCGTGAACTGACAATCTGTATATATAGGCTGGGGACCTGCTTTATAAAGCAGAGCCTGGCTTTCACTGAAGCAACACCATAAAGTTCAAAAGCTAATTACCGTATTTTTTGCTCTATAAGACTCACTTGTTACCTCCTAAGAAGTAAGGGGGAAAGTGTGTGCATCTTATGGAGCAAATGCAGGCTGTGCAGCTAACCCAGAAGCCAGAACAGCAAGAGGGATCGCTGCTTTCGCTGCGCAGCGATCCCTCTTGCTGTTCTGGCTTCTGAGATTCAGATTTATTATTTTTTTCATGTTTTCCTCCTCCAAAAACTAGGTGTGTCTTATGGTCTGGTGCATCTTATAGAGCGAAAAATACAGTAAGTTGGTTTTATCAGAGGAGGAATTGGACGCACTGCCCATCAGGCAATTGAAAATACCGTGATAGTTTTAAACAAAAACTGGGTGGTGGCTGATGCAGACTGAGATCCTTGTGTGAATGGAGATAGTGCCTTTATCCCTTTGCTCTCCACTTCAGTATTGATCAGAATAGACTCCCCTGGATCTGCAATTTCATCATTAGTCACTCAGGTAGTACAGTTGAGAAATAAAATGTTTGCTGCTGTAAAGGATGCACTATATATATGGATGACCAAATGCAAATACCAAGTGCATTTGACCATACATAAACCTGCTATATTAATAGAGGGTTTGTTGTTTTCTCTCTCTCTCTCTCTTTTCCCAACAAATATCTCTTTAGTTCATATATGGCCCCACTCCAGTGGTGAATACTAAAATCCCAGGACTACCTTTTTACCAGATGGCTCCCCCAGAAAGCCACCAGTTTGCAGGGATTCTTTCTTTGCTTCTGCATTTCAGGTGGACGTGGATCGGGGTCGCTGTGGTTGACAATGACAATGGAGAAAGATTTATACAAAAGGTGCTCCCACTCTTTTCAAGCAGAGGTATTTGTTTTGCCTTTCTGGAAAAAATCCCCAAGTTTAGTTTTCTGAAAGAAGGATACACCCTGATGCAACAGGGGGCTAAAATACATGATATAGTGATGGGTAGCAAAGCCAATGTTGTGGTGGCCTATGGAGAAGCTTCGACAACTATATTTTTGAGATGGCTGCCATATCTATCAATGCTTGGGAGCACAAAAACAAATACAAAAGGTAAAGTATGGATATCAACAACCCAAGTGGAGTTTATTTCCGTGGCCTTTCAGCGGGATTGGGATGCAACTATATTCAATGGTGCCATAACCTTCAGAATTCACTCCAATGATCTACCAGGATTTCATCAATACGTTGAGGGCAGAAACCCCTTCAATGCAGAAGGTGATGATTTCATCTGGGATTTCTGGCAAAATGCGTTTGGCTGTGTATTTCGCCATCGCATTCTGGACGAAGTTGTGGGGGATATCTGCACAGGAATGGAGAATTTAGAGAACCTTCCTGCATCTCTCTTTGAAATGACAGTGCAAGGTCAAAGCTACAGTATCTACAATGCTGTCTTTGCCATGGCCCATGCTTTACATGCCATGTCCTTAGCAATACACAAACACTCACAAATGGTGAGCAGAGGGAGACAGAAGCTTCAGAAGCAGCAGTTTTGGCAGGTAAGGGGCAAGAAATCCATATGTTGCATGGAATATATACTAGGTGTACAATTTGTCTAACTACTAACCATTTTGTCCTCCTCCCTGTTCTTCCTGGCACCTAGAAAGGATAGATTATCTGTCATGCAAGCTACCATCCTGCTTTCATCACTTTCTGAAAACTGAATTTTAATAATACTTTCCAGTGATATACTTACATAATTCTGTTACAGTATGGAAAACACAGAAACTTGATTTGGGAGTCTTTCAAGTTTAGCACACTACTCCTTGTTGTTTATTAACAGTGTATATGCCAGCAATTGAGCTGATTTTTGTAGCATCCCTGTTTGCAATATCTGGGTCATAAAGGGTGATTGTATCTTCCTTCAGTCTTGTACTTCATAACTGTCCAATTTGCAGGATGGGACAGTACACATTCCACATTGTACTCTACATACATACATTGTCCATGCACAGATGCACAAAAAGACTTTTATTTACTACTTTATGTACCTATTCACACATCCATCCATATCTTTTCTTTCCTCTCCACCTGAAACCTGTCAAACAAAAACATACACACATACACACACATACACACCCCTTAGCCCACACCTTAACAGTGCTAATGGGGAATGGAGTATAGAGAACACTGCAGACCATGTGTGAGCCTAAAATGGGATACATGACGCAAGTGGCACTGTGGGTTAAACCACAGAGCCTAGGACTTGCCGATCAGAAGGTTGGCAGTTGGAATCCCCGCGACGGGGTGAGCTCCCATTGCTCAGTCCCTGCTCCTGCCAACCTAGCATTTCGAAAGCACGTCAAAGTGCAAGTAGGTACTGCTCCGGCGGGAAGGTAAACGGCGTTTCCGTGCACTGCTCTGGTTCGCCAGAAGCGGCTTTGTCATGCTGGCCACATGACCCTGAAGCTGTACGCCGGCTCCCTCGGCCAATAAAGCGAGATGAGTGGCGCAATCCCAGAGTCATCCACGACTGGACCTAACGGTCAGGGGTCCCTTTACCTTTACCTTATGTTTCAGGCAGCAGAGCTACACTCTTTGCACTAGATCTCTCTTTGAAACATTCAGATCCACCATCTTCTAAATGCTTGCCTTCTCTCTTTTCATTCTAGCTTCATCATTTTCTGAGAGGTGTCTCATTTAACAACAGTGCTGGAGACACAGTGTCCTTCAATCAGAATGGGGAGGTAATATCTACCTTGGATGTTATCAACTGGGTTATTTCCTCCAACCAGTCCTTTTATAGGGTAAAAATTGGGAGGATGGATCCTGAGGCTCCTCCAGACCAAGCCTTCACCCTTCATGAAGATGCCATAACATGGCATGGATGGTTTAATCAGGTGGAGTCACATTCTTAGCTAATTCAAAAGAGATTAATTTTTCAATGAGCAATAGTTCTGTGCTTTGATGTCTAAGATAATGTTCACTGGAGAATCAGAAAACTTACAAAAGACTCTTTTTCTTTTTTTAGTGGATGTAAATTGATGTATTTGTCAAGGATAAAATTGTGCACACTTTCCATCCCAAAGGGATGTAATATTGTGCAATCTGGTAAAATATGTATAATATCTCCTCTGTATTCATTGTTTTAATACAGACGGTGATGAATTACTCTCTGCAGAGCTGATCTACGGCTTAGTGAATTGCTGTGACACTTTAGCAACATAAAGGAGGTCTCCAGAACCTGACTGATTCCAAATGCATTATTCTCATGGATATCATGTTTCTCCTTCATTTACTGATTAGGTTCGGCCTCTTTCTGTCTGTACTGAGAGTTGTCATGCAGGATCAAGGAAGAAAGTGAAGGAAGGAGAACCATTTTGCTGCTATGATTGCATCCCATGCCCAGAGGGAAAGATTTCAAACCAGGAAGGTAAGAGAAATACACAGAAATTTGGATCCAGGTGTAGTACTTCCATTGAGTTTCCCTTAAAAGGAATGGGACAAATTAAGTTATGACTAACTGGTCCACTTGCTTTCAAGGGGACCAAGTGTTACTCACTGAGGTTACTTCAAAGCAATCTCTTTGTTGTTGTTGTTGTTTAGTCATTTAGAAGCAATCTCTTTGTTGTTGTTTAGTTGTTTAGTTTTGTCTGACTCTTCATGACCCCATGGACCAGAGCATGCCAGGCACTTCTGTCTTCCACTGCCTCCCGCAGTTTAGTCAAACTCATGCTGGTAGCTTCGAGAACATTATCCAACCAACTTGTCCTCTGTCGTCCCCTTCTCCTTGTGCCCTCCATCTTTCCCAACATCAGGTTCTTGTCCAGGGAGTCTTCCCTTCTCATGAGGTGGCCAAAGTATTGGAGTCTCAGCTTCAGGATCTGTCCTTCCAGTGAGCACTCAGGGCTGATTTCCTTCAGAATGGATAGGTTTGATCTTCTTGCAGTCCATGGGACTCTCAAGAGTCTCCTCCAGCACCATAATTCAAAAGCATCAATTCTTCGGCAATCAGCCTTATTTATGGTCCAGCTCTCACTTCCATACATCACTACTGGAAAAACGATAGCTTTAACTATACGGACCTTTGTTGGCAAGGTGATGTCTCTGCTTTTTAAGATGCTGTCTAGGTTTGTCATTGCTTTTCTCCCAAGAAGCAGGCGTCTTTTAATTTCGTGGCTGCTGTCACTATCTGCAGTGATCATGGAGCCCAAGAAAGTAAAATCTCTCACTACCTCCATTTCTTCCCCTTCTATTTGCCAGGAGGTGATGGGGCCAGTGGCCATGAACTTCGTTTTTTTGATGTTGAGCTTCAAACCATATTTTGCACTCTCCTCTTTCACCCTCATTAAAAGGTTCTTTAATTCCTCCTCACTTTCTGCCATCAAGGTTGTGTCATCTGCATATCTGAGGTTGTTGATATTTCTTCTGGCAATCTTAATTCCGGCTAGGGATTCATCCAGCCCAGCCTTTCGCATAATGATTCTGCATATAAGTTAAATAAGCAGGGAGACAAAATACAGCCTTGTCGTACTCCTTTCCCAATTTTGAACCAATCAGTTGTTCCATATCCAGTTCTAACTGTAGCTTCTTGTCCCACATAGAGATTTCTCAGGAGACAGATGAGGTGATCAGGCACTGCCATTTCTTTAAAAACTTGCCATAGTTTGCTGTGGTCGACACAGTCAATGAAGCAGAAGTAGATGTCTTTCTGGAACTCTCTAGCTTTCTCCATAATCCAGCACATGTTTGCAATTTGGTCTCTGGTTCCTCTGCCCCTTCGAAATCCAGCTTGCACTTCTGGGAGTTCTCGGTCCACATACTGCTTCAGCCTACCTTGTAGAATTTTAAGCATAACCTTGCTAGCGTGTGAAATGAGTGCAATTGTGCGGTAGTTGGAGCATTCTTTGGCACTGCCCTTCTTTGGGATTGGGAATGTAGACTGATCTTCTCCAATCCTCTGGCCACTGCTGAGTTTTCCAAACTTGCTGGCATATTGAGTGTAGCACCTTAACAGCATCATCTTTTAAAATTTTAAATAGTTCAGCTGGAATACCATCACTTCCACTGGCCTTGTTATTTGCAGTGCTTTCTAAGGCCCATTTGACTTCACTCTCCAGGATGTCTGGCTCAAGGTCAGCAACCACACTACCTGGGGTGTACGAGCCATCCATATCTTTCTGGTATAAATCCTCTGTGTATTCTTGCCACCTCTTCTTGATGTCTTCTGCTTCTGTTAGGTCCTTACCACTTTTGTCCTTTATTATGGTAATCTTTGTACGAAATGTTCCTTTCATATCTCCAATTTTCTTGAACAGCTCTCTGGTTCTTCCCATTCTGTTGTTTTCCTCTATTTCTTTGCATTGCTCGTTTAAGAAGGCCTTCTTGTCTCTCCTTGCTATTTTTTGGAAATCTGCATTCAATTTCCTGTATTTTTCACTATCTCCCTTGCATTTTGCTTGCCTTCTCTCCCCTGCTATTTGTAAGGCCTCGTTGGACAGCCACTTTGCTTTCTTGCATTTCCTTTTCATTGGGATGGTTTTGTTGCTGCCTCTTGTATAATGTTGTGAGCCTCCATCCATAGTTCTTCAGGCACTCTGTCCACCAAATCTAAATCCTTAAACCTGCTCCTCACTTCCACTGTATATTCATAAGGGATTTGATTTAGATTGTATTTTAGCGGCCCAGTGGTTTTTCCTACTTTCTTCAGTTTAAGCTTGAATTTTGCTATAAGAAGCTGATGATCTGTGCCACAGTCAGCTTCAGGTCTTGTTTTTGCTGACTGTATAGAGTTTCTCCATCTTTGGCTGCAGAGAATATAATCAATCTGATTACGATGCTGCCCATCTGGTGATGTCCATGTGTAGAGTCGTCTCTTGTATTGTTGGAAAAGAGAGTTTGTGATGACCAGCTTGTTCTCTTGACAGAACTCTATTAGCCTTTGCCCTGTTTCGTTTTGATCTCCAAGGCCAAACTTGCCAGTTGTTCCTTTTATCTCTTGATTCCCTACTTTAGCATTCCAATCCCCTATAATGAGAAGAACATCCTTCTTTGGTGTCACTTCTATAAGGTGTTGTAAGTCTTCATATAATTGGTCAATTTCAGTTTCTTCAGCACCAGTAGTTGGTGTTAAGCCTTAATCCTAGTTTGTGTGCTCAATGTTTACATGCCACTTATTAGAGAAAAGACAGAAGCAGCTGTTTATTGTGTACTCATTCTGCTTAGTTTGTGGCAATATTAGAAAAGGTTGCATCAAGCCAATGTAATTTCAAACTTTGCAGTGTACTTCCCAATTGCTTTCCATTTTTTAAAAAAGTCTGTGCTTTTTGAGGTGGGGGCTTCTTGTGCAAGAGCTCCAAATCCACTTCAATGGCAGAACGTGAATTTGCACATACAGTGGTACCTCGGGTTACATATGCTTCAGGTTACATACACTTCAGTTGCAGACTCCACTAATCCAGAAATATTACCTCAGGTTAAGAACTTTGAACTTTGCTTCAGGATGAGAACAGAAACCGTGCAGCTGCGGCACAGCAGCAGCAGGAGGCCCCATTAACTAAAGTGGTGCTTCAGGTTAAGAACAGTTTCAGGTGAAGAACAGATGTCCAGAAGGAATTAAGTTCTTAAACCTAAGGTACCACTGTTTGTGATTTAATCCCACACCCAAATAATGGCAGTCTTCATGCACCCTAGATATTCAGGTACCATGCATATTTAGTCAGTGCCTCATCTTTTCTTTGAGATCTCTCCGACTTAATTATCTAAGCAGTTACCATTGCTCTTTCACAAACATGCAATAAATTTAGCAAGCCTTTCTGATCATACCTGGCTTAGCACATGGTGGCATGTCATTTTAGGGAATGAAACTTAATTTTAGCAAATTTCTTCAGTAAAAATAAGTTTTTGGGTGTCAGGAATTCAAATCTGTTATTATCTTTTGACTGGACAACAATTAGGTTTTCGAACGTTTCGGAAGTCAAACGGTCTTCTGGAGCGGTAAAGGTAAAGGGACCCCTGACCATTAGGTCCAGTCGTGGCCGGCTCTGGGGTTGTGGCACTCATCTCGCTTTATTGGCCGAGGGAGCCGGCGTACAGCTTCTGGGTCATGCGGCCAGCATAACTAAGCTGCTTCTGGTAAACCAGAGCAGCGCACAGAAACGCCGTTTACCTTCCTGCCAGAGCGGTACCCATTTATCTACATGCACTTTTGACGTACTTTTGAACTGCTAATTTGGCAGGAGCAGGGACCAAGCAACGGGAACTCACCCCGTCGCGGGGATTAGAACCACCGACCTTCTGATCGGCAAGTCCTAGGCTCTGTGGTTTAACCCACAGCGCCACCGGTGTCCCCTTCTGTAGCGGATTACATCCAAAACCAAGGTTCCACTATATTATCTTGGTGACAGAACAATAATAAGCTTCATAACTCTACGTTTCATTAAAAAGCATATAAACTGCTTTCAGAAAATCATAAAATTTTAATGTTACCTTCTGTATATGTCAGGCAATGCTCAATAACAATAAAATTAAATACGTTTTGTATATAATATTAATATATAATATAACTGCAAGTACTTGAAAGTCATTTTTATTGAATTTATGTATTTCTACAATCATTTTACTTGGGGAATACTAACTTAACCAAAATATCTTTTGAATTCCCAAATCATGTTATAGCTTTTGAGCATCCTTCAATGTTGATGTGATTGATGGAACGTGTATGAGCTGGGGACTGTAATTTTCTTTCCCCCAGATATGAGTGACTGTGATAAATGCGCAGACAAAGACTATCCAAGCAAGAACCAAGATGCATGTATTCCCAAGGATATAAGCTTCTTGTCTTATGATGAACCTTTGGGCATCAGTTTAGTCTGCTTTTCGCTTTCATTTGCTCTGATCACAGCTCTGGTGCTGGGTACATTTGTGAAGCACCATGACACTCCCATAGTCATTGCAAACAACAGGAACCTCACCTACACTCTCCTCATTTCTCTCCTGCTCTGCTTCCTTTGTGCACTGCTCTTCCTGGGCCAACCAGAGAAGCTGACATGTCTCCTCCGACAAACCACTTTTGGCATCATCTTCTCAGTGGCTGTTTCTTGTGTATTGGCAAAAACCATCACTGTGATTCTGGCTTTCATGGCCACCAAACCTGGATCCAGGATGAGGAGATGGGTGGGGAAGGAACTGGCCAACACCATTGTCCTTTGCTGCTCCTTTGTCCAGGCAGGGATCTGTATTGTGTGGCTAGCAACCTTTCCCCCATTTCCAGATGTAGACAGTTACTCAGTGGCTAAAGAAATTATACTAGAATGCAATGAGGGGTCTGTGATGATGTTTTATGTTGTTCTGAGCTATATGGGCTTCCTGGCAATTATTAGTTTCATTGTCGCTTTCCTGGCCAGGAAATTACCTGACAGCTTCAATGAAGCCAAGTTCATCAGTTTCAGCATGTTGGTCTTTTGCAGTGTTTGGCTATCCTTTATTCCATCCTACCTGAGCACCAAGGGAAAATACATGGTTGCTGTGGAGATCTTCTCTATCTTAGCCTCTGGTGCTGGACTGCTGGGTTGCATCTTTTCCCCTAAATGTTATATTATTGTGTTCAGGCCTCAGCTGAACAACAGGGAGCAGCTTATGAGGAAGAAAAACTAAAGAAAGAAAGAAAGAAAGAAAGAAAGAAAGAAAGAAAGAAAGAAAGAAAGAAAGAAAGAAAGAAAGAAAGAAAATATGTCCTTTGCTCATCAAAATGGAGTATGTGTATGTTTCTTTCTGTATATACAGTAGAATATTTGTACATACCTATTAAGCCTTATAGGCATTTGACTCTTGTGAAATTCTCCTTGGCTGGAAAAAAATCACTTGGAATCTACAAAAGCACTGAAAAGTTCCTTCCTTAAAAACTACAGTTGCATTTTTCAATTCTAGATGGAAGCAACTAATCTTTCTGTGGGTGGGGTGAGGAAAGGAACGGCAAGCAGCAGAGCTTTGCGCAATAGGGATTTCAAAGAGCCCTATGTTCCACTTGGGTAGTACATGCCTTTTTCCGTTGGGGAACATGTTAATATCATATGGCCAAAATAAGTGGGACTGGAGCTGGTGAAATCATGCTGGTTGCAAGGTTCTAGAAACCATAGTTATGAATTAGTATTAAGTGTGATCAAAAAAAACGAAGATCATGGCCACTGGCCCCATCACCTCCTGGCAAATAGAAGGGGAAGAAATGGAGGCAGTGAGAGATTTTACTTTCTTGGGCTCCATGATCACTGCAGATGGTGACAGCAGCCACGAAATTAAAAGACGCCTCCTTCTTGGGAGAAGGGCAATGACAGGCCTAGACAGCATCTTGAGAAGTAGAGACGTCACCTTGCCAACAAAGGTCCGTATAGTTAAAGCCATGGTTTTCCCAGTAGTGATGTATGGAAGTGAGAGCTGGACCATAAAGAAGGCTGATCGCCGAAGAATTGATGCTTTTGAATTATGGTGCTGGAGAAGACTCTTGAGAGTCCCATGGACTGCAAGAAGATCAAACGCATCCATTCTTAAGGAAATCAGCCCTGAGTGCTCACTGGAAGGACAGATCGTGAAGCTGAGGCTCCAGTACTTTGGCCACCTCATGAGAAGAGAAGACTCCCTGGAGAAGACACTGATGCTGGGAAAGATGGAGGGCACAAGGAGAAGGGGGCGACAGAGGACGAGATGGTTGGATAGTGTTTTCGAGGTTACCAGCATGAGTCTGACCAAACTGCAGGAAGTAGTGGAGGACAGAGGTGCCTGGCGTGCTCTGGTCCATGGGGTCACGAAGAGTCGGACACGACTAAACGACTAAACAACAACAACAACAACAACAACAACAATGTGATCTCTGCCCAGTGGTTTAACTCTTGATTTTTACTATCAATAATAATAATAATAATTTATTTATTTTCCTTATTTATATTATTTATACTCTGGGGAACAAAGCATAATCTGAAGCCAAGGCTTGCTATTGCTCATGTGTTTTTGATTTTGCCTGTGAACTCAGCACAGTCTCCTAATCATTGATGGTCACTTCCTAGCCTAATGATACCTACAAAGTGGCAAAAGAATAAGGCATGAACAGCTGGGGGGGGGGACAAATGTCAGGAAAAACAAGCTTTGAGCTTTTTTACTGCACAATTAGGTGGGGGGGGTAGGTCCAGACTTGTGTTCTGCACATTTAGTATGAAAAGTCACAGAAATGAAGCACAAAGCTGTTTTGACAGGAGTGTGTTGTGGGCCTGTGGCACAGAGGCATAAGAAAAGCCATCAATTTGACCTCATGCTGAAATCATTGGGGTCACTGCCACCTCAGCATAAATCTCCAGCTATTATCTGCTTGTTTCTTCCCTTTCATTGCACTTTATACAGTTTGAAAGGATGTTTTCTTTTACTTACTGAATTCTTTATTCTTTCAGTATATTAAACATATTATACAATGATAGCATGTTTGTTATTTGAATCCCCCCCCCCCGTTTTTCTCTCCCCTACCCCCAACAATTTGGCTTCTGTTAATTAGGTTAAGTTTTCACCAGTTATTCTTCAGTCAGCCTGTATATATCCGAATTGAATTAAGATAAACCTGAACTAGAAAGGTTTTCCTTAAAAAAAAGAAAATGCCCCCAAGTGCTTCAGAGGTCCCTGTGTCAGTTTGAGATGTTTGGCAAGAACCCACTTCTGCTCAGCTGCCTCATTCCATTTCTTAATTCAGGATCTGTAGGGTGGGGGGCGGGGTTGCACACAAACTCTTAATTTCCCATGGGACAGCCACTCCCTTATTTTAACACCTTGCAGGGTTTCATTCATGATCTGTGGGCTGCATTTGGAGCATAAACACCTGCCCCACTCACCTCACAGAGTGTTTGTTGTGGGGGAGGAAGGAAAGGAGAATGTTAGCCACTTTGAGACTCCTTAGGGTAGTGATAAAGCAGTATATCAAATCCAAACTCCTTGTTGGCTCATTAACTCAGGATTGTCTGGGCCAGTGTCCAAAGGCTGTTGAAAACTCGATAAGGGGCAATAAACTGAATCATGGGAAGACAGGTGTTCTATGTATAGCTGGTTACTTTATCCAGAAGACAGGCCCACTGCTTGTCCTGGATTAATTTGGACTCCATCTAAAGGAGCAGGTTCATATCTTGGGAATACTCTTTGATATGTCTTAATCATGAGAGGGACAAATGACCTTGCTGGCTAGGAATGGCTTGTACCAGCTTCACTTGATACACCATCTATGGCTGTATATGGATTGGAATCACTTAGCTAGAGTACACAATGCATCATAGCAGCATCTCCAGAGTTCTTAGAAATTGCCTAATGTAAATATCAGTTTTCCATTGATATATAAAATATCAATTTAATTAACAATCTTAGTGAATAGTTCATCTTGTATCCAGTTGATTTCAAGTAAGTTGTGGAAATTCCTTCCGACGGGGGTGTTTCTATTATCGCAAAGGGATGGGTGACAGCACAAAAGGGTCACATTGAAAACTTTGAGTTATTGTGGCATGAAAAGTAGCAAAAATATCTCAGTTTGTATGTTTAAAAAACTGGGGCAGAGCTTACAAAAAGATACAGAAGCAACTTTTCTTTCTATACATTATGTTGGCAATAACATTTTTTTAAAAAAATAATTTTTATTAATTTTAACATATAAATTATAATACACACCACAAAACTTCACCACTTATACAATCTTTTTTGGACTTCCATCAGCACCTCTGATGATCCACCGTTTTTATCACTTCTTATGCATTTCTTAAATTCATATTGCCTTCAATTATCTTAACTAACCATCCTCCCCTTTATTCATTTTTGCAATAGTTCCAATCATTCACCTCACAAAACTTATTGCAAACCTACAAACGTAATTTGATCATCACAATTACTTTTCAAATAGTCTATAAATTTAGACTAGTCTTCTGTGAATCTCTGGTTCCGCAGATTTCAAATCCTTCATGTTAGTTTGTGTAGTTCTGCATAGTCCATTATTTTCATCCTCCATTCTTCTTTCGTCGGTAATTCTTCTTGCTTCCATTTTTGTGCCAATAATATTCTTGCTGCCGTCGTTGCATATAAAAACAGCTTACAGTCTTTTCTATTTATGTTGCGTCTTACAATGCCCAGTAAAAATGCTTCTGGTTTCTTTATAAATGTATATTTCGACATTTTTTTCATCTCATTATATATCATTTCCCAGAAGCTTTTCACCTTCTTACATTCCCACCACATGTGATAAAATGTTCTTTCTTTTTCTTTACATTTCCAACATTTATTACTACCTTTATACATTTTAGCTAATTTAACGGTGTAATATACCATCTATACATCATTTCCATCACATTTTCTTTTAAGGCATTGCATGCAGTAAACTTTAAACCTTCTTTCCATAGTTTTCCCCAATCACTCAGCTGTATATTATACCCAAAATCTTTAGCCCAATGAATCATAACCAACTTTACCTCCTCATCCTTCAAATGCCATTCAAGCAGCAATTTATACATTTTAGACAAAATTTTACAATTATTACTTAGTATCTCTGCTTTAAACTTTGATTTATTTTCATCAAATCCTTTTTCTTTAAAATCCTGTTTAAACATTTCATTGACCTGACGGTAATGCAAATCATTCACATATTCTTTCATTTACTCATATGGTTTCATCTTCCATTTACTTCCTTCTTTTTGTATTAATTTCCCATAAGTTATCCATTTCCCACACATATTGATCTTTTTAACACTCATTGCTTCTAATGGAGATAACCAATGCGGTGTTTTACATTCCAATAGGTTTTTATACCTATCCCATATTTCTATTAAAGATCTTCGAAATATGTGGCTTCCAAATCCTTTATGGACTTTTGTTTTATTATACCATGAATATGCGTGCCAACCAAATCTATTGTCATAACCTTCCAAATCTAACAGATCTGTATTTTCTAATAACATCCATTCCTTTAGCCAACAGAGGCAAGATGCTTCATAATACAATTTCAGATCTGGCAGAGCAAAGCCTCCTCTTTCTTTAACATCTGTTAACAACTTATACTGTATTCTTGGCTTCTTTCCCTGCCAGATATATCTTGAAATTGTTTTTTGCCATTCGTTAAAAATTGTTGCCCCTTTAATTATTGGAATTGTCTGAAACAAAAATAACATCTTTGGTAGCACATTCATTTTAATAGCTGAAATACTTCCCCAAAATGTCAGTTTCATCCTTCCCCATATTTCTAAGTCTCTTTTAATACCACTCCACACCGGTGTATAATTATTTTGGAATAGATCAATATTTTTTGAAGTTAACCAAATTCCCAAATATTTAACACTTTTAACAGCTTCTATACCAGTTTGTTGCTGCAACACTTCCACCAGGTCCTGTTTCATATTTTTAACTATCATTTTAGTTTTCTTTTTATTCAGTTTAAAACCTGCCACTTGCCCAAACTGTTCTATCTCCTCTAATACTTCTTTCACACGGAGTTGGCTCTTCTATTGTTAGTACCACGTCATCGGCAGGCAATAAGATTTTTTCAGGAAGATCAACACTTTCAAGAAAAAAGTTGCTTTTTGCTCTACTTGTGGTACACAGTTCTCTACAGTGTCAGTCACTCAATCTTCTTATTACAGTCAATTATAACT